AAATGGCCGTGATGCTTCATATCTTTGTGAAATACGCTATAACTTTTTAGGATTCTTTGATGAACAGAGTTAGAGAAATATTTTGTAATGTAAAATTCTTTATGGTCACTTAATCAATTTAATGCATCCTTGCTAAATAAAAGTATTAATTTCCTAATTAAATAAATCTGTCATTAGCGTATTTCAAAAGTCAAGAACTATTTTTATTTTTAAAGGTGAACTAAGTAACTTTTTTACCTTAACCGAACAGCTTTGGAGTCATTGTAATGTTTATATTACTGATTTCGTGTTGAATGGTGGTCGTCTCGCACCCCCCTGGTGCCTGTGAGCCGCAAAACCACCCTTGCAACTTTGGGCCGGCGGGCCGCCGGCTTCAGTGTTAGGAAGTATCGTGTGATATCAGGTCTCGCGAGGTAACGAATTGCTTTACGGCAAAAAACAGATCTGATAAAATTCTGATAAAATGAGCATCAAACAGAAATAACCCGGCGCCGTATACATGTGATGTTGGGCGCGCGCAGCTCTTAAAGGGGCCATACCTTATTTCCACTCGTTACAGCGTCCATCCTACTGAACAGGTACCGGTGTACAGGGGGAGGGGATCCGGCCGTGAGTGCGAGCCATCTCTGCGTGAGTGCTATTCACGACAGTACAAGTACTCCACAGCGACTCTAGCGGTCGCTGTTTGACAAAAACGGAATTCCTACTTAGTGCTGCTTTAAGTAACTTATTAAGAAGACTTACTTTCTTATGTGGAACATAAACGATTTTTTTCTGGGAATGACATGAGGGTGAGTAAATACCAGACTTTTCATTTTTGGGAATAGCTTTCTCATAAAAGCTGACTAGATCTATGAACACAAATTTGAGCTAGACAAAATGTCTATTGTAATTGGTTCTTATGACAGGTAACAATAACAGGGAACTTAATTAGAGGGTTTTGTGAGGTGTATCACAACTCAAACCTAAAGCTTTACCAAAACTTCTGAAGCCAGACTAAACAACTAGGCATTTTCATTCAAGATGAAGGTGTAGATGTAAACACACTGTTTTTATCGGTGATCATCTGCACTTCATGAAAAACACTGTCGATTGTTGCTCTGATGTAATTTCGTTGTACTTCCAATGACAATAAATAATAATAATAATAATAATAATAATAATAATAGATAGAAGTGAGTGGCAAAATAAGGAAAGTAGAGCTCAAAAAGAGAGAATGACAGTGTAGTGTGTGGAGGTGTAGTGTTTTATCAGTTTCTATTGGCAGTCATGCTCAGAACTCACTGGAGCAAAAGGATGTGACACCCGCATACCCAACGACACCCCTGCTAATAATAACCGCTACATTTGAGGAGAAGTTTCAGTCAGACTGCCACCTCAACTTTCTGTGTGAATACGAATTCTTCAAGGAATAGTTCACAAATTTAAAATCTGTTATTTACTCACTCTCATGTTGTTCCAAACCACTTTTTTCCTTCTATGAACAACAATAGTTGATCAGAATGTTCAAACATTTTTTTAAACCATTGCAGAGGGGTGGATTTTCAGTTGAATGGGACTTAAATTTACAAACTTACACTCCACAAATCTTGTCATTTTATAGTGATGTTTTAACAAATTTGGAGCTTGATGACACGTATAGTGTGAACATTTTGCCAAGCTTCTCATTTTGTGTTCAATGTAAGAAAGACAATCATACAAGTTTGGAATGACATGAGGGCTTGTAAAAGATCTAAGTTGTCTGATAGTGTGGCATTCAGAACGACAGAACGATTTTAACATTTGTAAAAACCTCAGTCTATACTGACTCAAAAACGGTTTCTAGTGGTTCTCTGGAATGTAGAATGGAAAATGCAACACTTGTCCAAGGTAAAACTAGATTTGGGCAGAACATGGCAGGTGTTCAGAGACTCATTTGAATGCCCTCACATAGCCTACATCTGTTTGCTACAATTCCTGTTACATTAAACAAACAAAAATGCCCTTCAAAATACCAAGATTGCAGGTGGTCCAAAGGCATACAGTTTATAGTGAAATGTGCTTAATATATAGAGTACTGTTTAAAAGTTTGGGGTTAGTAAGATTGAGAATTAACCCGTTTATCGAGGATGAGTTAACACACTGATCACAGTAAGTGACAGTAATGTTACAAAAGATTTATATTATTTCAAAAACCAAATGCTGTTCTTTTGAACTCTCTATTTATCACCAAGAATCCTGAAAAAATGATTGTGGTTTCAACTGTTTTCAACATTGATAATAATAATAATAAGTAATGTTTAGAGCACCAAAGCAGCATATTAGAATGATTTCTGAAGGATCATGTGACACTGAAGACTGGAGTAATGACTCAGCTTTGCCAACACAGTAATAAAATACATTTTAAAATGTATAAAACTCAAAAACAGTTATTTTAAATTGTAATAATAATATTTCAGTTCTACTGTACTTTTATTAAAGAAACTTATTTCAAAAAGATTTTTTAAATAATCTTACCAATCCCATCCCACACTTTTAACGATAGTGTAAGTGATGACAATAAGAGGCAAATTAGCGATGAAAACTATTTTTTCTAAACAAGCACAATCATAACCTATGCTGGCTGACATATAGCTGGGTCAACATCAATATAATGAAGGGTATGATTAGCAGACAGACCTCATTTCTCATGCAATATTGTTCATAGTAGCAGCAGGCTTATCTGAACCATAAGTGCCTAGCAAAATAAACAAAAATGACATTTTGTGATAAGTGACCATTCATAATTTAAAGAAAAGAGAACAAATAAATGGACTGTTTGAGGTTCTATTATAAGATGGCACGTTTTACACATTGGTCCCTGACATATGCCTAATTCCCCCTAAAGAAACCAACTGATCCGTGGCATAAGGGATATTTTCTTTATTTACCCTTTTCTTTATTTACAGTCACGTTCAACATGGTGTGGATAAAATTAACATTTACACAGCTTATTCTGGCCTTCCATTTAAATGGTATTTTAAAAGAGAATATGTGGGACATTGTTGGAGTGAAGAAAGGGACAAGTGATGAGTCGCTATAGCACAAGTCAATGAGCTTGTTCACCTATACAGTGTACACTCATTCTAAATAACAGGAACCTTGCCAATGAGGTATGACCCATGGGCAAGCTACCAATAAAAGTGACAGCGGTGATAAAAAGCAGCATGCAGTTTATCAAAGGGACAGCAGACAGTACTCTGCTTAATGCCTTTTCCTAAGCTACTGGATTCATCAGCATCAGCAGTCCATCACCACATACACAGTAAGCAGACCTGTCTGTCTCCTTCAGGTCAGACACTGAATACTGTAAGATGAACTTAAGACTTTAAAAGCAAAGTAGGTCTACAGTGCTGATAAAAGGTAAAAACTAAAATAAAACCCACAGTCCTGCGATTCCATGCATCTTAAAAAGAGATTACAAGCTCTTAGAAGAAGAGAGAGAGGAGGATGAGTTACACTGACTCATAAAAGTGCTTAAAAACCTTAGGAATGTGCTGGATACACGAGTCCTGCTCATGATGTAAGAGAAAGCTTCTTTACCAGACTGTCACTAAAAAAGCACTATTGGAAAAAGTTAGTACTTGACCCTGACAATGACAATTAAGATGAAGCTGAAGAGAAGTGCCAAAGTAAAAAGAACAATGTACTTGCATACCTTCATATAGTAACAAAACAGATGATTAACCTATGCAAAGCAACTCTTGTTTAGCATAATTTGAACAACCATGTCAATGAAATTTCATGAAAAAGAAAGATACTCATCTTTGTATGGCATCTCCTTTCATAAGGTTTTTTTCTCTTCAGTTTTTAAAATGCCAAGAGAATATGACAAAGAATAAAAGTAGCATTATGTTGGGACACGTTGTACCACTATGGAAAGTTGTCAGAATGGGAACATGCCAATAAATAGCTTATAATAGGATGTTCAGCTATATTAACATAAAAAAAACCCTCATGAAATAGATAATATACAATATTATTTTTGTTTCGGCCACACAAAAAAACTTAATGGTTTAAAATTACAAAATATAACAACAGTATTGAACAATGTGTTGTAACCCAACATGCAAAACTAATGCTAGAGAAGACATATTTGTGTAATCAAAACCTGAGATAACATTTGTGACAACTTGCCCTGGGTCTCCCTTACTACTTGATTATGTTCTCAAAACCAATAAACATATGTTTGCTAAACTTATTGTATTGAACAACCTATGCAATTCGGCAAATGACAGTGAATTAGATCAAAAGTAGAGTGAGTAATGTAATGAAAGCCAAACAATACATCTTTAAAGAACAATGGCGAATCCACAAGTATACATTTGCAAACGTCTGAGGGGATGTTTAAATGTGATGATCGACACAGAGGGGTGTGGCGTCAGCATGGGCTGCATGTGTCTGGACAACCACAAAAGCATTTTATCCCACTTCTGCTAAGGCTAGATTGGTGTAGTTAAGAGCGTTTAAATGTTTTAACAATGTCAGAGTATTTACATTTGCGGGAAGGGTTAGTAACGCGGATTGAGAGAGAAGCTGGAAGTAATAGGCTTATGAATTATTATATTTATGCTTATTATTATGATATAACCACAGGGTAAATTAATTATTCTAAAGAAGGTAACTTCTGCCCTAATAAAGCAGGTAAAATAGGCTATAAAATTCTACTTAAAAACGACCACTATTTTTAATCTGAAATTAACTATTAAAGTAAACTTTTATCAAACTCATTATGTGCTGAATATGACGGTAGGTATATAGTTGCAATCCACAAAAGTTAAGCATTACATATTTAGAAAAAACGTGCAAGTTTGAAATAAAAATTTGTATTTCTTATATCTACAGCCGTTTTGATTCATCCATGGTCTCTCCGTCTTGTGAAAGCGCGAGCAAACATTTGCCCCTCAATGCAAATATCAATCATCATCAGTCTTCTCATTAAAGAGACAAACGTTTACTTTAAGTAACCTAGTTAAACTTACCAATTACAATGCAGATACCCACAATGTTCCCATCGATTAATGTGCGCATGAATTAATTCTCCTCATTAGCAACTGGTGAAGCATGTGTATCATGTCAGATGAGATAAGGACTCTAAGCACGTCTCTTTCCAGCACACACTGCTTATTTCCACGCACCTCCAAATCCCAATCCATTCAACACTGCATGTGAGATCAGTCTTGCCGTATTAATACATAACGCACAACGATCGCGGATCTTTCTGTGCACAATCCGCAGAACACTGAAATCTGAGCACACTGGGTCTTACCGGTGAGTTTGTTTACCGCAGTTTCATTGCAAGCTCTCAGCCGCTCGATGCAGAGTAAACTACGGTCTTGTCCTGCCTCTTTGGAGTAAATCCCTTTTCGATTTACGGAATTTACCGAGCCCAGCCGAGGTGGGAATAGAGGAAATGCGTCATGCGGACCGGAATAAAGGGGAATGCAGTCCTGATTGATTTGTAGTCGGCCTTCTTCTGCGCTTTAGTAGGCTATTACTAAATTAGTATTACATAATAATATTTTGATATATAATAATATTTCAATATATATGTGAATAAATAATATTTATTCACATAAACTACCAACCAATATTGACATAATAGTTAGTCTAATAAATTATAATATTACACACACACACACTTAAATATATATATCTATATATAAACAAGCCTGGCAACTTTAAAAAAGTCATCATAGGCTCGTCAGTTTATTTCTAGATAACCATGATATAATTTAACCCTAATGCACAAATGTATTTTAAACAAACTCTAAACTAATATATATAAAGTATTCTACTCTGAACCTTCACTTGCCACATTTCTCAAAGACCATGTGAAAAGGATCTTTGCATTTGAGGCAGAACATTTCACATTATATTTCTTACCTACCTAAGCATAACTTTTTCTACCTTTCTAAGCATAACTTTTGAGTAAACTTTGCACCGCTTCCTTTGTTTTGGCCATCAGCTGTCCGTGTAGCTTTTCTTTACTTGCATCTGAAATCGCATACTGTCTTGAGTATAGGCTCTTCATTTGAGAACTTCGTGAGAATCGTGACAATATTGTGAAAATATTCATGTGTAGGCCTACAGTATGAATAAAGTATTATCAAGCATGAATGTGTGTAATATGAATGCATATCTGATGCTACATCCGCTGCCATGTTAGCATTGTGATCATGTGAGCTATAGAATGAGTTGCATTGTTTCTCTACCACACTCACAACTCATTTGCATGATCTATGGATAGTAAAGTGTCCATTGGATGTGAACTTGAGAATCATGACAGAAGCAGTATTCGGGTACTTTTTTGCCTATATACTGTTTTGTGAACTCAGACATACTCATTTCAGATACTTTTCAGCTGCTAGCCTGCCCTATAGTAAGGAGATGGGCTATTCATATTCAGACACAGGATTGGTATCTGAGGCAAATTCTTGGCTCAGATCACTTCTTTAAGTAATCCATAAAGTTTCAAGAAAATAAGTATCATTATTGACAAAAATGTATCCAAAAATACTGTTGTCTCAAAATTCCATAGGAAATGAATACAGCTCAATTTGACCCCCTTTAAGCCTTCTTGGAGTAGGCTACTGATACAAAAGTTGTTTTCCCCCATCCTATGGCCAAGAAAATGACATTGATGAGGGTCAGCAGCATGTTTTTTTTTAGAAGAATTCATGGAATATCAAAAAAATAAATGTTTTCATTGATTACATTTTTAATAAATAATATCATGTCAGGGCAATTTGACCCCCTTTTTAGTTTAAATCCCATACAATTACAAATTCCAGCATCACAGAGAAAAAAGTATCTTTCTCACTGTATTAGGCCTACTCTCTGTTTTTGATGTACAGTTGTAAATCATCTGCTCAGTTTTAGGGGATCTAGCCTCAAGCAGTCATGGATTGTGTGGTCAGGCACCTGGAATGTGTTACAGAAGTGTTGACCCAAAAAAGCTCAAACAGGGGTGAGCCCTGCAGCAGCATTCCACACATTCTATGGAGAACACCTATCCTGCTCTAAAAACTCAAAATTCCACCCTATCACCCCCTATAATATGTGACTTTCAAAACAATATGGACAACCTTGTAGGAATTTCTGCTGATCCTTATCCCTATAAAATGGACTTTGAATCCCAGACCATTAGACCACTTTAGTTTGTGTCTCTAGAGCCTAAATGCTGCTTTCTATGGATCAAAGAAGTATTACAGCATGGTCCTGTCAGGGTTTTTGTTTTTCTTGTTACCAACATGGGGTCAGTCAGGCTGTGCAGGAAGCTGGTCTTTCTACACCACAATTCTGAAATGATGACTAGTATGAATTTAACACAGGAAATAATGCAATTTCTCAATAATAAAAAAAATGTAGGTGCAGATGCCTGGTTTAGAGAACAGCTAGTCGATCACTGTTTTGCAGGAAACAGGTACATGACTTCACCTTCCTGAACTTGGAACAACTTTAATATGACTGTCAAAAATTGTGCAGGTAGTAAAAAAAATAAAAGATAAAAAAATAAAAAACATTAGATTATATTATTATATTTGTAAAATGATGTGATTTTAAGACAACTTTTAATAATTATCCAGTCATTAAGAATTGTACTCAAATTAATGTCCAAACCTATTGTAACTAGTTATTCTCTTACTTTATGGCATCGATATTTTAGATTAAAAACTTAACATTTTAAATGTGTGTCTGAAAATGTTCAGACTAAACCCTGCTTTTATTTTTCAAACTTGACCGAAAAGGTTCTTACATCCATTCACCCGTAGATGGGGCTGTTGCTCTCATCTTTTTCTTGAATAAGGAAGCACCAACTGTTATTTACATTACAATGAACTTGGGGGGGAATTCATTTTATTGAAGGTGTGGAAGGAAGGTGTGGATTCATTTTATTGAAGGTGTGGATTTGTTATTTGTCAATCAAAGCCAAAGGGGGGATGGGGGAGCTAAACAAAACACACAAACAAAACAGTGGCGCAGAAAAGAACAGGCACAGAGACATTAGCTTGGCTACATATAGCTAAACATGAGAACATTATTCATTATCAGGTAAAACTATAACTTACATTTGACTTTATTACCTGATAATGAAATACTTTTGCTAATGCAGTGGGGAGAACAAATATTTCATACACTGCCGATTTTGCAGGTTTTCCCACTTACAAAGCATGTAGAAGTCTGTCATTTTTTATCATAGCTACTCTTCAACTGTGAGTGACGGAATCTAAAACAAAAATCCAGATAATCACATTGTATGATTTTTAAGTAATTAATTTGCATTTTATTGCACAACATAAGTATTTGATCAGAAAAGCAGACCTTAATATTTGGTACAGAAACCTTTGTTTGCAACTACAAAGATCATACGTTTCCTGTAGTTCTTGACCAGGTTTGCACACACTGCAGCAGGGATTTTGGCCCACTCCTCCATACAGATCTTCTCCAGATCCTTCAGGTTTCGGGGGTGTCGCTGGGCAATACGGACTTTCAGCTCCCTCCAAAGATTTTCTATTGGGTTCAGGTCTGTAGACTGGCTAGGCCACTCCAGGACCTTGAGATGCTTCTTACGGAGCCACTCCTTAGTTGCCCTGGCTGTGTGTTTCGGGTCGTTGTCATGCTGGAAGACCCAGCCACGACCCATCTTCAATGCTCTTACTGAGGGAAGGAGGTTGTTGGGCAAGATCTCGCGATACATGGGCCCCATCCATCCTCCCCTCAATGGGTGCAGGCGTCCTGTCCCCTTTGCTGAAAAGCATCCCCAAAGACTGATGTTTCCACCACCATGCTTCACGGTTGGGATGGTGTTCTTGGGGTTACTTATCTTTCTTCCTCCAAACACGGCGAGTGGAGTTTTGACTAAAAAGCTCTATTTTTGTCTCATCAGACCACATGACCTTCTCCCATTCCTCCTCTGGATCATCCAGATGGTCATTGGCAAACTTCAAATGGGCCTGGACATGCGCTGGCTTGAGCAGGGGGACCTTGCGTGCGCTGCAGGATTTTAATCCATGACGGCGTAGTGTGTTACTAACGGTTTTCTTTGAGACTGTGGTTCCAGCTCTCTTCAGGTCATTGACCAGGTCCTGCCGTGTAGTTCTGGGCTGATCCCTCACATTCCTCATGATCATTGATGCCCCACGAGGTGAGATCTTGCATGGAGCCCCAGACCGAGGGAGATTGACCGTCATCTTGAACTTCTTCCATTTTCAAATGATTGCGCCAACTGTTGTTGCCTTCTCACCAAGCTGCTTGCCTATTGTCCTGTAGCCCATCCCAGCCTTGTGCAGGCCTACAATTTTATCTGATGTCCTTACACAGCTCTCTGGTCTTGGCCATTGTGGAGAGGTTGGAGTCTGTTTGATTGAGTGTGTGGACAGGTGTCTTTTATACAGGTAAAGGGTTCACTTCAAACAGGTGCAGTTAATACAGGTAATGAGTGGAGAACAGGAGGGCTTCTTGAAGAGAAACTAACAGGTCTGTGAGAGCCTGAATTCTTACTGGTTGGTACAGTAGGTGATCAAATTTATGTCATGCAATAAAATGCAAATTAATTACTTAAAAATCATACAATGTGATTTTCTGGATTTTTTGTTTTAGATTCCGTCACTCAGTTAAAGAGACATATGATAAAAATGACAGATTTCTACATGCTTTGTAAGTGTAAAACCTGCAAAATCGGCAGTGTATCAAATACTTGTTCTCCCCACTGTAATGAAATGTGTGAGAAGCTGTTCATTAGTAGTTTTTCATGCATTGTTTGCCTGCATTCTGCATACCCTAATGCAGTTTTATCTTACAATAGGGATGGCCTAGTTATTTATGCAATTGTTAATTGGATGATTCATTATTAAGGTTTGTGCCTAAATTATATTTTGTCATTGAACCTCTGTGCATGCAATATGGATACCAAGTCTGAAGTCTTGTTTACAGACAACAGCAGCTTACAGTGTATCTTTCAGTATCTGCTACTGCAGGTTTGAGATCCTAGACAACATGTTTGGGTTTAAAAGATTCAGCACAAAGACAAAAAAGCCTCTATGTGCTCAAACATCATGAGATCAACTTGCAACCAGATTCCCAGAGGACCACGTGGACCAATCTGTCTGAAGAGCCTGGAAACTTCCCTAAGGAAAACCACAGCCAGGGGACAAAGGGGAGTTTGATGGATACATGTGAGGTGGGAAAATGCCATCACAGTCACAGTCAGGCCGCCGCCCTCTTTATTTCAGCTAACAA